TTTCGGCGATTTTTGTGTTCGTATTCCTTCACGACATTCCCCGTGTTTCTCGAAAAAGTTGGACAAGATTTATCAGTACTTTGAGTAGCCGCGTGCTTATGGATGACGGGATAAGATGTAGAATTGAATGCGGTAGATTGAATGCAGGTTCAATCACAAGCACTTGTAATTACACAGCTCAATGTAACGCCTAGTGTCTTCTGTTATTTGACAAGTAGTTTCAGGCCACTATATCCGTATCGAGAAGAAATGGATAAGGTCTATCAGTATCCATAACGACGAATGAGGATCGATATTTGGCACTTTCAGCGCGGTGTCACAGGACTACTACAGATTTAAAGCTCTCATTTGAGTTGTATGCTGCTATTGGAACTGGAGTTTCAGGAACTACAGTTGCCCGAAGGCTTCATGAAATATGGCTGTGTGCTAAAAGTTCCGCTATTTGCGTCCCGCTCACTGCACCACATAAGAATGTGCAGTTAGTGTGGTGCGGGCAGCATGCGCCCTGGGCCACACTACTATGGAGCACCGTACATTTTACAGATGAGTCGAGATTCAGCTTGGATACAGATTCTCGGCGTACACGTATTTGGGAAGAGCCTTGAAAACGATACTATACCTCTCTCAGCAGGGAAACGGATCATTACGGTGGTAGAGGTGTAATGGTTTTAGCAGGCCTTATGTTGGACGGCGGCATAGTCTTGAATGCGTTTGACAAAGGCTTCCTGACTGCTATGAGGTATACACAAAAGATCTTAGAGTCCTATGTTCGACTTTTCAGGGGCTTAATTTGTCCTGTGTTCCTGTTCATGGACGACTGGCCAGCCACATTTCCTGACTTTATAGAATATGCCTGGGACGCTCTTGGGAGGTCAATTTCATCTCCCCGTTCCGGAGCTAAAATCTGCCTAGATATATGTTAGAAGTTTCGCAGATGAGGAAAAATATTACGTAGCAATCGGGTGGGGATGGTCATTGCAAATAGCTTCAAACTATTGCGTAGATGAGTGGAACTTCGGTAAAAACCACAAGTATCTGGATGTTGAAAACACCTTTATTTCTTGTCGACTAATCTGTTAACCATTAACCGCCAAAACTACAAAGAATGTTTCTTTTCTCATGAAAATAATAACAAATATTAAATTAAGCATTTAGAACACAAATTTACATTTAAAGTAAAAAAAATGCTCTTACCTGTGGAAAACGCGAGTTTTGCGTTCGCGCAACGTCAGCGGAATAAAACTACGGATGTTTAGTGAGTAGGATTGTATTCGTGTGATGTTTCTTTTGAGTGGAGTTAATTAATTTAATATTAAAATATACATTGTATTTCTTTTACAAATACAGATTATTTCAATGGAAAGATTCAAGCATGACAAGCTTGATTACAATCATGATGTAAAGCTACATTACATACTTCGCATCTATAAATAGTCTGGCTATGGTACTCTTTACAACAAAGTCTTTTGTTATCAACGGACTTTACGATAAAATGTCTACCATCTCCATACAATGGTTTTTGAATGCTGAATTTACTAGGTCTTCCTGTTGCTGATCCATTTCTGGCTAATTCTACACTCTCAATAGGAGTTTTCAAAAGGAATAATGCACTCTCGCGTCTGAAATCTAAAAGATACTTTATATTTCCAGTAGTAAAAAGTGGTGATATTTAGTAAGTTTAGATACGGTCTCACCTCATATAATTTATCAGTATTGTCAATTTGACTATTGTCAAATGCAAGTTCTGCTTCATATTCCTGTACTGCAAACGTGATATCGATTTTCGTACAACAGGAACAGAAATGTCCTTATCAAAAGACCAATAATTTTTTTCTTGAGGTAAAGAATGATATTCTGTAAGCAATAATATTCCAATAAATCTTTCATATAGGCTTCAGATGCAATAAATTCTCAGCATTTTTTTGAGCGTATATATTTGTTCAACGAGAGAGAGTAAATGTCTAAACCAAAAAGAAAATCGAAAATCTTTGCACTAGTTTTACCTTGTATTTTGTCTTTTATAATTTCTCTTCTATCTCTTTCTTCATGTTCTTCCTGAGACGTAACTAACTGGAGGCATATAAGTTCCTTTTCTATCCACTTCAAGATTTCAGTCTTCTGCTTTTTAAACATTTTAGTATGACTATAACTGCTTTTAGAAGGCTGAAACTTACTTCTTACGTGAATTTCAACTTCTCCAGCAGTATCATTTGGTAAAATATCATTATCATTATTTAAAACATTGCCATTCCTTTCTTCTTCGTCACTAGATTCTGCAATTTCTGGGGGAACAACAACAATATCAGTTTCATTCTGGTCATTATTAACATTATCATCATCTGTTTCACCATCAAAATATCTTTGAAGGGCTTCTTCTAATGTAAGATGCCTCGTTCTAGGCATTTTTAAACAACCAGAACATAAAACAGAACATCGAAAGGAATGAGTGAAAAAGGAGATTGACTACCCGTTTCCTGCTGACGTTTCGTCAACGCAACATCTGTTTTCCCTTTCTCCCCAACACAAATATAAACATCTTACTGATGTAATGTTCTGATAAACGGTGACCTTGACTAAAAATAGATCACTCATAAAGATGGCGATTCTTTCGTTAAATATTTTCAGCAAAAATAGCCGGTCGAAAATTTTGCTTAAAGTATGAGATTAATTATTAAAAACAAAATGATTGTTGAAGGCAAATATTATTTTACGGAAATAATCTTCATAATGTTCCCTACACAAAATCATCTGCTGGTATAAAATATCTTAGGTAGTTATATTTATATACGCATTTATTTTGACCGTTGAGTCAACGCAACACCAGCGGCTAATGGGTTAAGACATAGTTCCTTCATTACCACACCACAATCGATGCAATTTGCACGCTGCAATTTTATACATACCAATTATATTTTAAATATTAGAAGATTCCAATAGCGAAGGGACTTCGGTTATTCAGGCAGAGGAATAAGCGAAAAGAGAGTGCATGTACAGCAACTGGAATATTTGTAAGCCTGGCCCCCTTTGTTTGAATCTTGTTATTTTCGGAGTTTGGGCAGTGTGTATTACTGAGAGCGATAAATGGCGTCATTGATGGGGTATAGATGATTTTAAACGGATTGTATTAAAGTTAAAATTAGGAATAAATAGTAATCCTTTAAAAACATTGAGAAGTTCTAGGAAAAATCTAGGTAAATTCTGTGATTGAAGAAAAATTGATAATAAATATTAAAATATTTCAAGATAAAATAAATGTTAAGATAGAAAATTACGGATTATTTTATATTAATGATTTTAGTACAACGAAAAACCAAAAGAATTATCTGTTTTAACAGTATTAAAGAAAGATCAGATTTCTAGAATTTTGGTTTGAATACGTCTAGTAAGCCCGGAACGCAGTGACAGTATCTTGAGCAAGGAACACTTCAAGATACTTTTTTAAACATTTTAAGCATTTTTAAGGTAAGCATTTTAGGATATCACGGAACGGATGATTAAAATCCTTCATAAAATGTAATTTGTATTTATTGCCCATGTTCGTAATTCCTTGTTCGCTAACTGGAACAACAGATTAGTTTTGAATTTAAAATTTATATTAAAAAATGAAGTTTTGGAAGAGGCAATTCAGAATGTCTCCAAAAAGCCCATTTTATTATAAAATCTGTAAATTAAATAGTCAGATTCTTAAAATATTGAACAATGAGATAATAATAATTATAAACTAAACTCAGTGGCGTAACAGCCCTAATGGGCCAAGGCCTGCAGTGCGCAAAATCTGCTTTCTTGACCATGGGTCCTGGAGTGCGTAAGCATATGCCCTAAACAAGTGGTGAGTTTGTCGCAGGACCCCCAGTGTTTAGTTCCCAAGCGAACTTGGTACTCCTTTTATCGACCCAAGGGCTGGAATTCAAGGGGTGAGAGGCCGAGTCGACCTTGCCCACCCCGGGAGTCGAACCCCGGACCTGTGGTGCTGCTGCACGATGCGCTAGCCACTGCGAATAATAATAATAATAATAATTAAAAATATCAAAAGGTGCAGAATTTTAACTTCATCCAAAATGTCTCTTTTAAAGTTTAATATTATTATCAGCAGAGATTACCTTTAGAAACGTCCCAGATGGAATAGCAAAACATTTTACAAGATACTTGACGAATATCCATTTATATTAACATGGGAATCTTATATATCATCTGTATATTTAAAATATGAAAAAAATATATAACATAATTCTGTAAAATATTTCATGTTTCTAATTAGGTTTATCATGAATTAAGTGGCCTTTTACTTAACTGACTCAGATTCAAAAATTAAAAAAAAAGTATTATTCGTAAGGGCTGCGTCTATTACTTTTAAATAGATTAGTTTTTTCATCGTTAGCAAAGGCCTTTTGGGTTAAAAAATCTAAAAGGACTGAAATTTTAAAGGGGTCGCTCAAAAGCGCTCTTTTAAAGTTTAGTTTTGCTTTACCAACATAAATTACCCACAAAGATGGGCTAATAGGAAAAGCGAAACATTTTATAGGGTACTAAGAATGAAAATATTTTTAGACTAACTTGGGAAAGTTATATATATCTTCTGTATATTTGAACAGTGAAAAATCATACAACGTCATTCTAGAAAAATATTGAATGCTTTTAATTAATTGTATCATAAATTAAATGCATTTTCATTTACATTATTCAGTTTAAAATGTAAAAAAAAAATATCTTCTTAAGAACTGTATCTGTTGCTTTTAAACAGCGGAGTTATTTATCAGTAACGAACAGATTTAATTTGAAAAATAAATATCTTAAAGTTTGCAAATGGCAGCAGAGTCGAATTACTCATTCGACTCTTTCATTACTCATGAAACAACACCTTTACGGTGGACGGCAATTAAAGTGAATCAACGTAAAATTGTGTTTCGAGCATTTTTGGGTTAATGAAATAAATAAAGAAATTTCCTACTTACGCCCAACATGTCCAGATTTGGAATACGTAAGAATTCGTATTCGTTTTCTTCTAACGACATTTCGTCTAAAGAAGGGTGAGTTTTGAACTGGAAAGAAAAATTAATGAACATGAGGATAGAAAATTATATAAACACGCAATAATCTACACAGCAAGTAATAACTAAAATATAATAAGAAAGGAGAAATTACACATAAGCAGTCATACCTTTAGTTAGAAAATTGCATTCATCAAAGCATACTCCCTTTACTGCATTTAAATTAAACATTACTCTCCTGTTCCTCAAAAATGATGTTCTGTTTTATGTTATTGATTTTTCAATTTATCATTTCTCTCATGATGAAAATCTGTCATTCAGGCCTTAACGACCTTATTCCAAATGTAGATCGCGAATTATGAAATTCCTCTCTAGAGTGGCTCTTTATACGACAGCTTGGGAAAAGCTTAAAAGTTTCAAATAACATACGCTAAGAATATTAGAACCACCATAGAAAGAGGATTCTGCTTAATCAAATTTGTCCACGATTCTTAACAACCTTAAAAAAATGAGGTGAAGATATCTCTGAAATGCCAACGAAATGTATCCTAGTTTAATCCAAATACTCTAAAACATTCAAATATATATATTTACGTGATTATAATTGTAAATAAAATTTTACTTTGAATGAATTTTAAGCTGTTTCTAGGCATAGGTTTTCTTTTCCTTGTAAGGATGAGAGTTCTGTAATTTCCATCTGATGTTATATAGACTGCTGAGTTCTATACAGAATTATTTGCATGGTGACATTCAAGAGCGATATTTAAAATTTTAAATGTTAATTTATAATGAGCTGTGAGCAGATGACACTTAAAAACTTTCATCTTATAAAAACCCCAATTCTGGGATTTCCACCAGAGGTTATACAAAGTCGATGTTTCCATATGGAATTATTTTAATGGTGACACAAGAAGTTCACTGCATATAGAGGTTGTAAATTATGCAAAACTTAAAATATTTCGTAATCGTAATAAAGGATATCCCAATAAAAGTGTGCCGGATTCAATATGGTCAGTAAAGCATTTTATTTTTAGAAAAGGAAAAGTAGTTTTACATATTTACAATAGGTAAATGTTTTGACTTGAGAATAAAGTATAACTTCTGACATATATCTTCCATGACTTGTTCTGCAACACTGCACTCTCTCGATGCATTTCATATTCACTTTCTCACACATCTGCCCATCAAAAAGATTAATAACACTTTCAGTTTCCTCTTTCAGTTCATTTAATTTTACTCATTAAATTTGGATTCTTTGGAATTTGAAACATCACTCTCACGCAGTATAGCGGTGTTTTCAACATAATGGCTGGATCGATAGCATGGTGATTTCATGTCTCCTGTCGAACCTCAAACTTCTTCGTCAATCTGCGGTTTGTTGTTTCATTAGAGACATTTTCACGTCAAAGCCTGTAGCTTCCTGACAGTCTGTCAATAGCACTCACCATTCTTGTAGTGAGTTTTCACAGTGAAAACTCGCTGTTCCTTTCTGTAGCGCCCCAAGTCAAAGTGCATCGAAGCTGCGAATTGAACTGAGGGTGATAAATTGCAAGACTTCCCAAGTTAAATCAAACTTAATATTCTTAATTCAGAACATACGCTTGTTGAAAGTATATAAAATATTTTCCATTTTCTAAAAAATAAAGTATGTTTCCTGGCGTACTAGATCTAGCGCTTTTTTGAAACAGCGTATATTTATAGAATTTGTTTAACGGATTTTGTACCCTTAAATGCAAAAGTCGTCATTTGCATGTTTATTCACCAAGTGATGATGTTCATATTATTATATTAAAAATATGCATTTAAAATATCATAAATTAATAGTTCTACCAGCAATAAGATTTTTAACACACTTGGGCATTTAATGAATTGTGGTCATTACTAAACAAAGAAACTAGCTGTGCGATCATCATCAACATGCAGTAGAAGCGCGAGTGTAGGGAAGGATGTTTAATAACAATAAAAATGCTGCTTACTATATGGCTTTTCACGTCTTCTGCTTGCCTCAGGGAGGCTTTTAGGTAATTCAGAAAACTATCCATATCCTCCTTCGGAACCATACAGTATTTGGACTTTGAAACTGCTATATCCATTTCTTACCACCTAAAAGAATAAACAAACTAAATTATGTTCATAACAAAAGGAAATAACGATTTACAGTATTTTTTAGTTTAATAAATCAGTTTTACTTCAATATTATCATTTACGTTTAATTTTTTTTTGTTTCAACATCTTATGGAGCTTATAAATTAGATAAGTATTTATATCAGAAGAATTAAAACTTTTCGCTCTTGGGGTAGTATTAGTTCTTCCAAGATTCAATTTCTAGTCAGTATAGGAGTGAATATGACTTCATTACAGAGCAGTTTGTTGAAGTAAATGAAATTCCTACTGATAAAGAAGCAGCTTACTCTGGTAACAGCCGTAAATACAAATATCCCTTGACTTTCCGGTTATGTGCTCTGTTAGATTTTAAACTGTTTAATATGGTCCTACATGCCATAGGTGTTGAAGAAACACGCAGTTATTTTGTTTGTAACATAAACACAATTAAGTGGCGATAAGCAAATATTAAAGCAGAATCACAGCTTTTTACTTCATTAAGGGATAATCCAAATTACGAATACCAGAAACACAACTAGAATGTAAAGATATGCATATTATTTATTGAAAAAAGGGATACGATCACTGTCAGCTCTCCATAACGAAGTGTAAAATATTATGTTAGGAGAGAGTTCTGCAGGGTCAAGTCTATTTTCCTTTAACCTCTTTTAGGTCGGCGTCGCATCTCACACGTTCGGCGTTTTTCTGCCCGTAAGGTCGACATCGCATGACGATGAAGTGAAAAATTCCATCGTTGAAACTGAATTTGTCGCTGCTCATACTGTAGGCCATCCCATTCACAGATAATAGCCTTCGCGATGACGCGACCTTTGTGGTGAGCGGCAAGAGTAGAGATGAACTGCAGCAAAACTGCAATGATGTAATTGATACTTTCTCACGGCTATGTCAGGAGAAAAAGCTAATAATTTCTGAGGCAAAATCGAAATATATAATTTATCATAAGCCAGGCCAAACTTTAATAAGAAACCCAACCATACAGCTTAATGGGAAGACCATCAAAAGGGTCAGAGAACTAAAACGCCTGGGTATTATATTGGATGAAAAGTTCACCTGGCTACCTCACCTTAAAGCGCAAAGAGAAAAGGCTCGCCGAATCGCAAACAATCTGCAAAAAATACAAGGCCCGTACTGGGGCCTTCGGCCCAATATCTACAAGATACTTTACTCCACTGTCGCGGAGAGGGTCCTAACCTACGGAGCAGCCATCTGGGCAGCCCCGATGACAGTCAGAAAGGCAAAGTTGCTAAGTAGTGCACAGCGACCATTTGTCCTGGCCATAACGAAGACCTACAGGACAACGTTGACTGCGGCCGCTTCGGTATTAGCAGGGCTTATGCCGCTCCCAATCAAAGTGCAGCAAAAAGCCTCAATTGCAAAGGTGACGCAACTCCAACAGCCATGCACATATGGGGATACATGCTATCTGCCAGAAGTCTACGAAACACGCAGGTCCAAACTAAGCACACATCCGTCGGAATATGGACTGGGCATAAGGACTTTCCACTCACTAGCGTTAACCCCGCGCTTAGATGGACCAGGGGCTGTTCTTTATACAGACGGGTCAAAAATTGATAACGCTGTAGGCAGTGCCTATATAGCCTATATATGGAAAACATGGAATGGAAGGGCCGTCTGGGCGCACAGAACTCAGTGTTCCAAGCGGAAGTAGTTGCCCTCACAAAGGCAGTGAAATGGGCAATTGACACACGGCAGAGTCGAGCTACGATATTTACTGACAGCCTGTCAAGCATTTATGCTATCAACAACCCTCTCCAGCGCTCCGCACTAATCTCGCACCTGCAAGAAGTCCTCCGTCTACAAGAAAAGTCAATGAGAATCCAAATTTCCTGGGTGAAGGCGCACGCCGGAATCCAGGGAAATGAAGCAGCAGACGCTCTTGCCAAGGAGGCTGCCCAAAATGAGGAAACGGAGCAGATTCAGGTGCCCCTGCCCCGGTCATGCCTAAAGAGGCAAATAGAGGAGACCGCCATTGGAAACTGGCAGAATGAATGGGACCAAATCCCGCAAGGCCGCAGAGCATATGAGTTCCTGCCCAAGGTAGAGGTGGACCGGCTCATCTCAGCGCCCTACCTCACGCGATATATAACAGGCCACGGCCCCTTTCCGACGTACTTTGCAGAAAGGGGTCTAGCAACAACTAATATGTGTGTTTGTGACAACTTGGGCTCACCAGACCATTATGTCACGGAGTGCCCCTTAACAGCAGAATGGCACATCAAATTCCCAACCACCAATGTTCTGCCTTTCAAACGCCTTCTCGTAAAACATCGAGGCACGCGGCAAAAGCTTAAAAGCATAATGGACCAGCTAGAAAAAATGGGCATAGACCTCTGCAGGCCGGAATAGGGCACATGCAATAAACATAATTGCCATAACGATTCTCAAAGCTTACTAAAGTAGCTAGGACAGCAATGGTATGTGTATCCGTAGTATGGAAATGTAACTGTTTTTAGTTATCCACGAGCCGACGTGTCGTTAAAGGCTATTAGCACAGTAATGGACAGTGCACATATAATACTGTACATGTAACGTGGCATGTATTGAGCACACATCTGTTAAGCGTCTTACAACTGTGAAGTCTCTAGATGGTTGCAGGGCCAGGGTAATACCCGAGTAGTCATAGAAAGCCGTCCGGGTGCCCTGTCCTGCTGTCACCTGTCACCTGTAGGGACGTTAGGTTATTTGAGAGCAAGAAAGATGAAAAATATGCAACCGCATTTACCGGGAATCGAACCGCGGACCTCTGGAATATGCACCCAGCGTGCAGACCACCACACCACGAAGACATGCCAAGAAGGCGAGAGAAATACCCTATAATACTTCCTTCTAAATTTTGCGATTATTTTTGTATTTCTGAATATTACTAAGAGATAGCGCGCTAGTTCTAGTTTCTTCGCAATTTTCGCAGTGAGATTTCCCACTCTGAATATCTGTCATTAAATATTCGCGCGATATCTGATAGAATTTCAACTAAAACCCATTCAGGATATTTTTGATATTCATAGCTAACTTTTTTGGATGAAGTAAGCAATAATAATCATTTTTTAAATAAATAAACTATTTTCGTTTTGTGATAAATGCGGTTTTTATGCTCTGATGTTCAAGGCAGGTTGTAAAGCTGTTTTAGCTGTAAGGTTGAAAACCCATTTTCTAAAGCATTTTTTCGTAATTTTAATAATTATATATATATATTAAACACATGAAAGCAATGGGGTTAATAAATATAGTATCACACTGCATTTTTTAAAATTTAAAACTTGGGTGCATTGCAGTATGATCAGTGGACGGGGTATCACATATTTGACCACCCGTAGTTCCATCAAAAACTGTTTAAACTGTTTACTGTATCAAAAATGGTTTGCTTTTTTGAACTTAGGATAGAGCATATATTAATTTTCATCAATAAAAAATGCTTTTTTTCAGTCAAAGATTCGAAAAAAATTCGGCCAAGAACGGATTTTAAGGGGATGAATAAACAGCTTTTCCTCCTTTTCTACGGCGATTCTAGTGCAGGATTATTAACGGTTGTTTTAATTCGTTTTCGGACCTATATAAGATTGGATTTTATTTACATAGATCTTACACTAAATATTAAAATACTGGCTGTAAATGTATTTCTAATATTTTTTTTCATTTTAAGCTTTGTTTACTATAAAATAAATATCATGAAAATCTTCTTTGTAACAAAGCAATTTATGAAAAAAGTATGTTAATCAGTAACTCGCTGAAAAATTCCGACACTCGAAAGTTTTGTTGAAATGTTTCGGCAAATGAGATTTCTGGTCAGAATTTTGTGTTTTAAATAAAATTACAGCATGATAATTCGGAAATATTTACTTGTTCGACAAAATATATTCAAATTTCCATATCTGAAATGAACGTGGCAAGACGTTACAAATTAAAAAAATGTTCTGTTATAAATCTAATTATTTATCATTTTAAAGATGGTCAAAGCAGAATCTTCAAAATATTCAAAAACTCCCTGAAGTAAAGCGTTTAACTAAATTTAATATTATAAAACGATAAACATTGTTCAAAATGCACTTAAGTCTGAACCACGCTTTAATCTAATACCAAGAAATCTGAGATTTATCCTATGAGAGTGATTTCAAATTTTTACTTCCTAATACGAAGTAAAGGAAGTATTGCAATAGCGAAAAATTTCGGGTATCATATTTAATCGAAAATACCCATTTTGACCGCACTCGAATCCACTTAAATGAATTTTTTTTTTTGTGTGTGTGACAGCTGTACGTATGGACAGAATAAAGGATTCCTTTTACCAAAGCGGATTTGTAAAATGGATTTAGAATGGATGCAGAGGAGATTGTTTTTGTGACGTTTGAAGGTACGTTCGTACGCAAAAATATATCTCGCATAACTCAAAAAAGAGTAGCTTTAGAATAGAGGTCTTCAACCTTTCTCTCCCGAGAGCCACATCAATAAATTCGCAAAGATCCGCTAGCCACATGTCTGTCAAAAAATAGTGTAGTTAGAAAATTTATATGAAAAAGGGAGGTTTGTTTTGCAAAACTTCAATTTATTCTAAGCTAAGAGATAAGTGTTACACATTTGTATATATATATATGTGCATTGGTTCCAAAACGTCGAATGGAAATTGAATTTAAATCTTTTGCAACATTTTTAACTATGAAAAAAAAGTATAAAGAAGATGGTAGAGAAAGATGTTACAAAATGCATTTACAATGATAAAACTTACATTACTGGCAGGAGATGGTAATTACTTTAGTTTTAATGTGAAATTTGACATTGTTTTTGCTTGATTAAAGCTTCAACATCCGGTTTAATCTGTGTTGTTCCAATTTGTTAAGTTTCCTCCAAATGTCTGTCTGTCAGCCGTGTCATTGTTTTTGATTTTAGGATTTTCATTTTACTACAAAAGTTGTTCACATATGTAGGTACTGCCAAAAAGTTAGGAAACATGAGTGCATGGTTAC